TATCAATAAAATATCATTATTTTATGATTCATCTGGATTTAATTTTTATCTAGCCGCTAAACATTACCAACATATTAGCGAAATATATTTAGTAGTTGCTGCGTGCACTGTCACTCCAGTCGATCGTGCCTATACATTCGCATCATAACTTTCACGATACTTATGTATCGAAATTCATGAAAAGGATTTTCCATCAACTGGTCAATATTTATATACTTAAGGTGAAGTAATTTTTGAGGGTTGAAAAATAAAACTGTATCAAAGTATTCATAAAATCAAGGTTTATAATATACAATATCTTCGTATTTTTCGTAGTGTCTTCCTGTAATGTAATCTGCAAAACCATTGTGGGGGTTCTATGTATTTTTGTCGAGGTGGATAAATGATGCGCTTCATTTTATTTGGAGATATATAATTCTGGTACTAGTTACATGATATATACTTAAAAATGACGACCTACTAGTTCGGTTGCGGGGAGACGACTGCCGTGCGACGCCAGCGCACGTACGCGCTTGGGAACACAAAAGTACAGCGTCAACAGTGTGTCCCTACAACCATCTTTCGAGAAGACTCCAGAACTGGTTCCAAGTTCATTTTCATGCACATATCTGGCTAGAGGCTGCAACATAAATAGTTTAATTTAACTTACTTGATCCAATTGAACATAGATTTTTATATAGATTCTATAGATACTGTACCTACTTAATGTTTTTTGTATTTTGTCATTATGTCAAATTAATGCACTTTATCATTCAGAATTTAGTATAGTTCTTTGTTCTACTTTTGACGCATTTATTATGTACGATAAAATTATCGATACGGGAACAATCATGTACATCACTATTTTTTAATGAAAATTGTTTTAGACGTATTTCAACTAAAATTAATGAAAATAAGCACTGCATTAGTTAGAAAAGTATTGTATTTAGTCAATTTGCAGCAACCACACTTGAATAGTTTGAAAAACAGAGATATTTTAATGAAAAATAACAGTACTTACCGATGTAATGTTACACCTGCCGGTTTAGTAATATTTTTAGTGCTACATCCAATAACACTGCACCCGGGCATAGTTCTTCTCACTAACCAATAATTTCTTTGTTTACCACGCACAAAAACAACAGGAATACTACAAATTTTCGTAACAAAATATTGTTGACCAATGCTTTGACAGCTGATGTACCACTGACATGCACTGATAACAGGGACTAAGATGGCCAATTCGGCACAACTAGGTATTTTTGATGACGTCAAAAAATTATTGCCAGAATGACAATAATATGTTGTCTCTTTCTGCATAAGCAAAGAGACATAAGTAAAAAAGAAACAACAGTATGTTTATGAATTTACCGTCAAGATGGATTCTAAATTCAACCCGTAGACAATAGCCAGACATCTATGTTATATTCATAAATCTATGAATCAAACGCACAAATAATGCCATAGATGATACACGCACAAAAGGTTTATAACGTGTAGGTACTAAAAATAAAAAACATCCCCATCGCAAGTTTTATTTCCGGAAAAGTTATTTATGGTTCCATACTAAATTCCATCGGTCAAGATTTTTACTCCTACCTAACGGGTTACCGGGGCTCCGGCTCGACGTGCAGGAGAAGGAACGGGGTGGTTCTTAGTCAGTAAGAGTTTGACACTCCCTCCCGCCTCACCCAGGCGGGAGCAGTCAATCGATGATATTCCCCCCTTAAAAAAATAAAATAAAAAAAAACCGCTGCAATATGTAGGTAAGTCTACACTCCTTTTATCAAGAAATCCCGCGCGGTTTCACCCACTGTGCTCGATTCCTATTGATCGTAGTGTGATGTTTTATAGCCTTGACTTTACAAATGGACTTTTCTTGATAAACGGACTAGTTTCGGAGATTACCGCATAGTTCAAACAAACAAAGAAAAACAGAAATGATAATAAAAAGAATTATTAAAGATTTGCGTGTAGTGCAGGAAAAGTTGTTCTTCTATTATAAAATTTGGAGAATAAATAACCATAGCACTTCGTTGTAACATGTCCCATGCGTGAATGCGTGTTCGATGGGATTCGTGTCGTGAGTGAAATCAGGGTTATCCCTGATTTCATGTTCCTTATGCATACGGCTTTTATCGTGCATGAGTTGGAACTCCTGACCTATTTGTACCCTGTGTGTGGGATAATCAATCACAAGTTCGACTACCTCATTGCGGTATTTCAGTACATTCAAGTTCCTTTTTATCCAAATGAGATCAGTTCGCGCATCGATACGATCGTCGATCCATCGATAGGTTTCAGTACAAACGAATAATTTGTAATTAATTGTTGTCAACGCTGAGTACAGAATTTATGCCCATCAATCAATTGAGACAATCTCCTTTTTGCAGTGTGAAGGTTATGTGGGTCGATTTCTAGGCACTAGCCTTGAGGGGGGAAATCATTCAATGACTTCTCCCGCCCGGGTGAGGCGGGAGGGAGTGTCAGACTCTTACTCCGCGGCTCCGTATCGGCATCAGCCTTGTTGGCCCATCTGTGATGGTCTGATAGCACCTTGAGGCGCGCGCGCAACGCGACGAGCCGTACGCTCAGGCCTGGTTCTGCACGGGCGGCGAGTCACTCGTGCTCGCCGTCCACAGGCCCGTGCTTACGGTGGCTGGAGATTGTCTCGCGATCCCCGACGCCCGGAATGTCTCTCGCGACGGCCGGGGTGTGAGTAGGTTCGTTCCCTCACGTATACAGGCTGTATAATATCGGACCCAGTATCGAGCCCTGGGGCACCCCAGCTTCAATCGGGAACAAAGATGATCGTGCTTCTCCTACTTTAACTTTAAATAATCTATCCGTGAGATAGGACTCCAGAATATATCTTTTTTATGGCATAAACATAATATGCATAAGCGAGCGGACGGGTCACCTGATGGTAAAAAATCGGCGTCGCCCATGGACACCTGGAACATCAGAGGCGTTACAAGTGCTTTACCGGCCTTTTGGGGATTAGGAGTTTGAGGATCACGTATGGCGGTGAGCCCTATGCGACGTTGGGAACTCAATCCAAGACTCATCAGAAAAAAGCACCATGGACCAGCAATGGCTCGTGACTCCATGCGAAATGTTCTCGAGCCCACAGTAGTCTTCGCCCACGATTGCCATGCTGCAAAGCTGGAACTCGAAGTGCGAGAAACAAGACCAACTTCATGTAGTTCTTCTCTTACAGTTTGGTCACTGACCAACCATTGGTGGTCAGATTGTAGCCTTTGAACTATTTGCATAGCCGTAATATTGGAATATCTTCTTATGATATTTTGATGAAAACAGTCCTGTTTAGAAGTGGTGATACGATTCCTATCTGAATGCCGTTCAGCCATTAGCACGATATCATGACCATAACCGGGATTACTTTTTGGCCGGTTTGCGGAGTTTCCGCAACCACGCGTTGTATAGCGCTCGCTTCCAACATGCCTACAGCTCTAATCAGCTGCTCTTCCCTTGTCAAATGTCGACGTGACATAACAATAAATGTAACACACGTTGAAATTAGGATAGAAAGTATGTAATCGTTTTTAATTTTTCAAAACTTCACTGTTTTATTGTAACATGAACTAACTTTTCGACCACCAAATTCGAACAATCGATATTATTTTGTTTCAAAATTAGTTTTTATTTTTAGACTTTGTAAGAAGTGGTAGAGAAGAAAATATTATACGTACAATTTTTTCTTATATAGTAAATAGTTTTTAAGTGAAGAAGTCTTTCATGTATTGTAATGTTCCTAGATGTGTGTATATCATGATAATGGAGTGGCTCTAACAATAGTAAATCTATGAGACCGATAAGTTTCTGTTGCACCATACGCTGCGCCGCTCTGCAACACTAATGTCCTCTCTTAGTGAGTAGTATATTCCAATGTACAAGATAAACCAATAATCCAAGATCGTTATCCTAAATTGATAAGCAAGGCAACGAATATTAGGTACCTTTAAATTGTGATATGACGTCATACCGGTAAAGGTTACCCCTTTATTCCGGTATCGACATTTTATTTCGGTACAGTTATCTACTTATAGGTATATAAAAATAAGTCGGGTTTTCCTTCCTGACGCTATAACTCCAGAACGCAAGAACCGATTTCCAATGTTTTGCATTCGTTGGAAAGATCTCGGGCTCCGTGAGGTTTGTAACAAAGAAAATTCAGGAAAATAAAATTTTTCTTCATCTTTTAATCACCAAACGAAATGTTACATAAAACGAAGACATCTGGTGGCGAAACGGAGTTCGCTAGGTTTGCTAGTATTTTACAACATAATATAACATTACCTTTTATCCCCGAAGGGGTAGACAGAGATGCACATTACGGCATTTAATGCCACTGTAAAATGTAATTCCTACTTTTCACTATTTATGTTATGAGTCCTATGTAATAGGGGGTGAGCCTTTTACCATATACCGGGCACAATCCAGACTCCATGTTACTACTGAAATTTTTTTTAAAAAGCAGTAATACTTTGCCCGGCCCGGGAATCGAACTCGAGACCCCTTGCCCGGCAGTCGGACTTGCGACCACTCGGCTAACGAGGCAGTGATTTTTTTTTATATAAATCGGTATATTTCGGTACCGGTACGTTAATTTAAGAGATATTGACCACGTTGGTTCATCCATCCTATTTTTCTCTCCTCACAGGCTCACAAGCGCGCGCTTGCTGGTTGCCGTTGTTTCGCACCCACACTCATCGCACTTCTCGCTTTACGTCCCGCATCGGTCAAATTTAAGTTTTTCGATACCGATATCGTATAAAGGTTAAATAATGGCCTATAGCCTTGCTTTCGATATACTTATTTTATACCGGTACCTACCGTAACGTTATCCCTTAACCGCTTTCAGTCCCTGGGTAGGTACTGCAAGTGAGCGCGTGGCTATCATTGAAATTAAATGATGGTATATAATAGGTAGATTAATTTTCCTTCAGGTTTAAATATTGATTTAGGTACTTAATTATATAAATAAAAGTCATGTAATTTTGGTAAAGTATCAATTTACTTACTTGCTGCTTTATTTCAATAATTATATAGAACAAAATTAAATAAATACTTTGGTATGCCTAGATTGTGTTAGAAGTGATTGTGTTATAAATTATTAGAAGTACCCGAGGCACAAAAACTATAATTACCTTGTAAATAAAGTGTCGTGAATTTTTTTTAGATGCAGATTTTTATTGTTTAGATAAACCCACTAACCATGTGTAAGGTAAAGCTTTCCGTGAATTACAGACTATCTAGCTACTTGTTAAACAAAAAAGAGTTAAAGTGTAGGAATTTTCAGCAAAAATAGTACATTGTTTTATGAAAACTATCTCTTTTAAAAACGAGCTTTTTCGAAATATTTCGTGTAGATAATAAATACTTGGTCACAATATATAGGTTGCATACAAATAATGTAAACGTACTCAACGGTAGATATAACAAGTTTATAGAAAACATAAAAAGGTGTTAATTATGAGATAGTTAGGTACAAGATATAATTACTTAGTCTATGTTTATTATTATTGCGAAGATAAAATACACCTAACTAACTACTTTTGACAAAAGGATACATGAGAAGTAATAATTTTGTCTAAATTATCCCTAATTAGGTATTAACAGATTGATAGGCAGGTGGTGTGTTCGATCGATCGTGTGGGAAAGGTAGAATTTATGGCACGGAAAATAGCTCCATCGTTTGCGGAAGTTGCGTTGTATCGTCGTTGTGATGTTTGTCGCGCGTTCCAATTTAGTGCACATCAATATTAGACACGGAGTGGCACAACCAACTATACTGTTGCCCCACGACGCGTCCTCGACTTGCGGCAGTTTTGGATCGAGGAACTCCATAAAAGATTATCTTTGCATAAATTATGTTTTTACCTCGCAGACGAAATTGGTAGTCTTAACCGAGCCATACATTCCTAGTGGACTATCTCTATGAAGACTGTGTTTTTCTGTTACTAAGTATTTAAATTACCGACTGTTATATGATTTGTGTTACATTAGGTACCTATTATTATTATAATAAAAAATCTAAATTCATTTGAATTTTCTAAAGAGGTTTTCATAATTTATTACATCTATGTGAGTAGTTTTAGTTTTAATGCTACTCTAAATATATTGCAGTCTATTTTCTATACATCTATAATACTGTCGTGTTTTTTATCGGAAGCTTTGAGTTTTTCTTGCATCTGCGTTAACATATCTTGCATACGTCGGATCTGAAAAAGAACCCAAAATTAGTACAGATACCTTAATTCAGATAAATTTAGTACCTAACGCTAGTTTACCTATCTAAATGAATCATTATTATTAGGTTACATTACACACTATGACAGTAAATTTAAAAACCACCGGCTGATTTACATTGAGAAAAAATAATTTTACCTCTTCGTCCTTCTGCAGCAACAAACGATCTGTATCTGTGATTACTACTTCGTTGTTGTTTCCCATCGAATCCCTCTTCAGCTTTCTGAAACACAATATGAAATAAGTGAAACTAGTACTAGTGCAATACAATATATAGATAGGCAAAATTGATCTAAATTATTGAAGTATAACTGCTTTTTTTGATAAATACTTTTTTTGTTATTCTCCACGGTCTCTTGTCCGTGCCCTTGTCATTTAATTACATTTTCTTTTTTTAAAGTCAATATTATCTAATTATTACAAAAATCTCTATCTAACTGTTAACCATGGACTCTAATAATAATAAGTAGGTTCCTTAGTCCACCCTGTTAGTGTTAACTAACAAAAAATATGTCCAATGAATGAGCAGGACTTAAATAAATGTTCTAAAACTTTGAAAAGCGTAATAATACGTTATGACTAATCTCTGTTAAACGTAACCTATATACCTAGTTTTCTATATGAGTTAGGCTATTCTCTATCTTTAGTAAATTAATACCTCTTTAGTTCAAAAGGCGACTCACGGTCTATTGAGGTGAACCCTCTTTTATTTAGTACAGGCAATTTAGCTTAGTTAGTGAGGTCATACTGACTAGTATCGTACAACGTATGTACATATTGTAGGCGATTATAATACCTACCGTAGGCGGTTGGTGGATACTCTTTCCTATATGATGAAATAAGTCGAGACCCATTAAACCCACGGTTTAATAAGAATAAATGGAAAACTAGTAATTCAAGACAATTCCGGTTTTTTCCATTCTTATGGGATTTAGATACTTGTGCCACTATTGTGTAACTTATCTTGTAAGTATTTTTTACAGATGTATTCTCTGGGAGGACTCGTAACATAAATGATGACTTGTTCTACAGGTGTAAAGTAATATGTAATACGTACCCTCTTTCCCGCATAGCATGTTGCGATATCTGTGAGATGCATTGCGCTCGGAAGTTCTCATAGTGCACGTCCTGCGTCACATCTTTTAGGTCTTGCATATGAGTTGAGATCAGCATCGTCCGGAGCTTCGTGAAGTCAGAGTGCCGTGGATTTTCAACTGTTGGTACAACAACGTATTGTTAACACATTTCATCTATCATAGTCCAACATTATCTATCTAAGCACCTACCCGTGGAGGTGTTAGCACTAGTAATAAAAATGAGTCGCCATTGTTAACACCAGATAACATTCCAAGCTCCGTGTTCTCGGTAAGAATTTCGAAATCAATAAACAATAATATCTAATTAAACGAGAGGCAATCGAAGATCCTTCGACTTGTGCTCATACTCTACAATAAACTTACCGCCTAGCCTAGTACAGTGAAAAGTTAGGTAGGTTAGCCTGTAAGTAGGTATCCTGGGACCACACTTTAATCAGTCGGGTATAAGAGTCTTGAAGACAGTCTCAAAAGTTCTAGAGAGGTCGAAAATTAATAAAACTTACCGTCGACAATTCCCCATGGGTACTGTCGTCCGCGTACCCGTTTGCCTCCTACTTCCAATACAACGTCTGAAGCTACTACAGCGAATGGAGCTGCTGCCTTTAGCTCTCGGTCTTGTTGCTTAAACTCTTCATCTTCGTCACTGTCGCATTCAGGAAATTGATAAACCTGTCAAAAATAAATGATTGTGTAGGAGTTCTACTGAAAAGTAAAGGAAGGCATAAACCAGAAATAAATTAATTCCGGATTACTTGTATTTGATGTTCTTCCAAATCGTTAAGTATTCGCGTCTTTAGCCGTTTTACTTCGGCTGCAGTTAGGGAGTCCGCTTTCGCTATTACCACTACAATATTCACTTTGCGGTGAAGCCGTCTCATCATTTCCAAATCCACATGACGTAAACTGAAAGATAATATTTATATATATGAAAGAAATATGAACCTTAACTACAGGCAGTACTGCTAAATGTTAATTGCTCTTCAAACACTGTCCATCGAAGTATGAAATATTAAGTAATTTAGAAACAATACATTTTGTCAAAGCAAGAAAGTAGAATAAATGCTGTACTATTGCGTTTCTTCAGAAGTATGTGCGATTTGAGTTTGCGAGGAGTGACACGTGAAAACACGATGTGATATAAAATATTATAAACCGAGTGAGCAGCACATGTCATCCTAAATTACCACAGGACAAAGGTATTAGTAAAAAAATAAAATAATAACAAGGTGAAGTTCCACATGGGCTCATATTCACAATGCTCGTCATAAGGGTTTCAATAGCCTTACTTCATCGAGTTGTTATTGATCTGTTTATTGCTAGCTATCAAATAAAGGGACGTTAGTGCCTTTTATGATGTGTTAAATAAATCAAACCATTGATTGGTAGACAATTGGCATTTATAAACGTTTAGGTATTGTTAAATAGGTTTTATGATGTGTTGACAATTGGAACGAGATTTATTGTCTGAAGCAAGTTTGAATTGTAATCTTGCATCAGTCATGGCACGTGTGCTCCCGCATCGAGTCTCCTATCACTTCGGCCTTGACCATAATTGACCTAATAAAATAATACACTCCTCCGGACACGTACGGTCGTACACTATTATGAGAGATAGTTCTATTTATGAAGTTACTATTTAAGAGCAAACTAGGTCGATGGTCGATGTATTTCCTACATGACAGAAAGTCAGGCACAAGGGTTAAATTACAGATGCATATCAAATAGCTCAATTTTGAATGTTCTGCCCCATTAAACTGTTGTTTCTCCTCTATAATTTTCTACGTATCACTCGTTTACACAGCACTTGTTTGACAACACAATGGCTTGTAAAACGAAAGCTCAAAAGAACAAAAGAGAAAGTTACCTAAGAGCGGAATGAGATAGTCGACATGCTCATGAATTGTAATATAAAATGTTACCTATGGGCCCAGGGCGGAACGAAGTAGAGACAGCAATGCACTCGATTATCTTGCATGTGACGTCGATTTAATCCACTTTCATCAGTGAAGTACTGTCTAAACTGTTCGTCGATGTATGCAGAGCAAACTCTCCAAGAGTCTTCGCAGTTAATAGCATCTCCAAACCCAGGTGTGTCCACTATTGTCAATCTCAACTTTACACCCCGTTCTTCGATTTCCATTGTTTTCTTTTCTACCGTTGTTGTTTTTTCTATTCTATCTGCAATTAACAATTAGTATGTATCAGGTACATCGGATTCGTTTCTTTAAAAGCTTGCTGATTTGTGTGAATTATGTTTTCCTAAAACTCTTACCCTGTGCGTCTGGTATTTTTCTATTCTTGTAAAGGTCTCCTAAAAATAAGCTGTTGATAAGTGTTGACTTGCCGAGTCCCGACTCCCCCACAACCATTAGTGTGAAATCAAATCCGCGCTTCACCGATTTTCGGTGCACTTGCTCGGGCAGGGTCGCGAATCCGATGTAGTCGCGCTCACCGCGATCACGTTCTGTCAACAAAATAACTCAAATGTTTATCATATAGGTAAGCCTTTGTAAACTGAATTGTATTGATCTATATAATAAAATCGTAGGAAAATTAAAACTGTTCATTGAATATTTTTACAAAAGAATACTCGGGACGTGATCTACAGTCAATGTCAAAGCCAAAAATATAGTTTTTAGAATTTATGTGTGTTTGTCTGTACACGGCTGTTAGTTCGGACATACATGTCCGAACTAACAGTCTTTTCTTCTTCTCCTCTTATAATATCTTCTGATTCATTTCGTTGCGGGAACCAAGACAGTTACTCATGTCCCTGGGACGCGCCGGACTTCAATGTTCCGGTGTTTTCATGGTTGTATCTACTGTAGATCCTGGCTTACAGGAGTTGCAGCGGTTTTGGGAGGTTGTGGCGGGCTTGTCCCATTTAAAAAAAAATACATGTCCGAGCTAAACTCAAAGAGTATTGGATGGATTTACTTCAAATATTGCATGAATATTACTAATCGTTCTAGTCAATATTTAGGCTACATATTATCACACTATCACTTGCAGGGGAGGAGCTGTGAATCTTCACTATTCCACGAAGTCGCAGGTACGGCTAGTACAAAATATCGCATTATTATAAAAATATTCAGAACTGCAATACGCTAAGGTTGCGTTTTATTTAAATTGACGAATGACATGAACAGTGATTTCTAAAAATCTAACCAACAGTCAAGTACTATTTATAATAGGTGGGTATCCGTGGTTATATCCATAACATCGGTACACTTATTTATCTGAATCGTTTTCTTTTGCACAATGCAACCGTTCAAAGAGTTACCATTGTTTTACATTCATCAATTAGTTATGCAGTAATTGATACGATACCGACGATTACGAAATTTCGTTAAAGTAAACAATGTTTCGTGCAGTGCATACAAGTACAATCGGATTAAATAAATCAACTTGACCATTTATTTATTGTTCAATTGTAGTGTGTTGTAGTGCTATTGTATACTTTATTGTATAAGGCCTGCAGAGTGCAGAGCAGGCCAATCTTCAAATGCAAATTTGAATAATATTACAACGTCCCGTCTTTTTACTCTTCAAAGAAATCAGTAGATAAGGCAGAAGTGCATAATAGTAAGTAGGTACAATAGATACTGTTTACCACTTTATTAGTCCTGAGAATGGGAGATATAGGGAAATTAATCTATTGCAAAGGATTATTGGGCACGATAGATGACTTTTGGCTGCCCAATTTAAAAAGGTCAAGATGTTGTTCGACTCGTCAATATTCAAAGCCAAGATTGTCAAGTTCCCTTAACACATTCATGATTAATGAGACACGGTACATAAATATACACATGAGGCGGAGTAAATTGAAATCAACCGCAGACTCAGTTTATCCAAAATTGGAAACGAAGACGACGAGCTTATCGAAGACACTTACGGAAGATTATAATTAACATTAATTAGTATTAAACATTAAGCTGTTTACTATTCACTTTGTGTGCCTGACGATTAAGTTAAGCCTGTGAAGCTAATAGGAAGGAGGGCATTGCAAGTAGTTACAACGGACGGCAGCGGAGTGGAACATGACTGGTTCCCTTGGAGGTTTGGTGCGGCTCGCGCCGTCCAGGGACAATGCGCGTGCGCACCTGATATTGAAGACAATTGAGGACGACTAGCGGAAGCGACAAACGTGCCACTTTGCTACTACGCTCACAGAAATTCATGTTCTTATCGATAGAGACAAAAGGTACCGCACAATGTAATAATTAATAAATTTAAACTCAACCTACGAATGTTTGAAATTCAATTTCCAAGTAATAAATAGTCAAAATTTAATTGCATAATTAAGGAGGAATAACTACAATAAAAACGTTTGACTTGTCTTGTGATCTCGATTCCGCCCACAATCTCGCAGTTAAATAGATAATTACGTGAACTTTTTACTGTGATTAGATTTCTTACTTACATACAATATTTAATTGTGCTGTGGGAATATAAAATCCATACAGTCATTGTAGTTAGTTTTACTGGTGGGTAGAAGAGTGTTCGTTGAATAAGTAGGTACACTACAGTATTCTTTTCAAGCAGTTCCAAATTGGCACAAAAGTGTTTCCTATACCTTACATAAGAACCTAACGGGTAACCGGGGCTCCGGCTCGACGTGCAGGAGAAGGAACGGGGTGGTTTTTAGTCAGTAAGAGTCTGACACTCCCTCCCGCCTCACCCAGGCGGGGGCAGTCATTCGATGATTTTCCCCCCTTAAAAAAAAAAAAAAAAATACCTTACATATAACACTTTTTTAGCAGAATGTATGTCCATATCATCTTTTTGCATTTTTGTTACATTTTGGGATAAATTAACAAATAATTTGGGAGATTAGTCAGGTAAGATAGTATTTGATTTTTTACACTTACTAAATGTTGGTTAAATTATCTATACTTAGTTGATTCAATAATGACAATGATTATTTATAACAATAATTAATTAATAACTGTTACACTTACGAATTTTAATAACTGTTGTGAAGGGCAAATTTTTCTTAGAATCATCGTGATTATTGCCTATCCCTGTTTCTGCATTTTCATTATCCTTATCTCCAATGTTGATATCCAAGATAGCGAATGAGTCAGTTTTTTCCATAATTTTAAGATATAATTTGATTGATCAGTAACTTTTTAACGTAGGTACCTATAGTGAACTGGGAGAAAAACGCGGGAATTTTCGTCATGCACGATGGCGTTTAATTGTATCTCGTATAAAGTTACGCTAGTGGTGTTAATCGGTTCACGGCGTAAAGCGAGGTAACGAAGTATTTGTGTACCACACTGGACGTAAGCGAGCGCAAGAAGGCGCGGCGCGCGACTCTCGCGCACTATGCCGCAGCCGCGGGGCGCACGTTCACACTGCGCGCGCCGCTTAACTAACTGACTTCACTCAGATTCAGTTAAACAGGTTAGATGTAACGCAGTTGCGTCACTCATTAACAAACAAAATTAACATAGTAAATTGGTCTACCTATTAAAATTAGTTAAAGTTTATCTCTCTATAATTTGACTCGTTTATTTTTAACATCGAAATTAACAGCATAAAATAAATGTAGATTTGTTAAAATATTGAAAAATATATAATTTCTACTCAAGAGGTCGGGCGAAGTATGAGTTTTAAGTAACTAAGCTTTTTCTTTTGTTATTATCATAGGTGCGTAATGAAACACCCACTTCAAAACATACTCGTTTAATTATTTAACTGTCAGGAGATAGGTATACGTGGTACATTTTAATAAATATATTATTTATAGGTAAAACTCTTATATATTAACATTTTCGGTATATCCTTTCATAGTGCTTCATTTCATGTCGGTGACCTATAAATTATTTATCATCAAAACTGTAGTAGGTACTCAAAAACAATCCCTTCTTTATTTTTCCAAATCTGTTAAATCTATGAGTTGTTTAAGTAACCTTAATATTATTTGAATAATGTCGTCAACATCTACACAATGTAGATGTTGCGATTCAGACGCTACACTACTCTCGTCCGGTGACGCAACAATACATCTTGTGTTGTTTTGTCTGCTTACATAGCATAGTTTAAGTACGTACCTAATGGACATACTATAAACAGAAGGATCTAGCATTTGGCATTTAGGGTATTAAGTTAAGACATGCCCACCATGTAGGTGGCACTGAACAACCATGAAAGCAGCTCTATACATTAGAGGGGGAACCTAATTCGACAGAGAGACCAAAAGATTTAAATATCGTTAAACACAAAAAATTGCTGCTAGCCGAATTAATAAAATTACGTATAAATAAATCTGCGAAATACTTATCGAAAATAACATTTTAAATTGACACAGAGGTAACAGAGCAAAAAAAAAACGACACATATAAATAGATATGTATATAAATATGTGTCGTTTTTTTTTTAAACCATAATTAATTATTAAATTAATTATACCTAATACCTAAGTATAAATTTTACGTCTTACGTTTTTATTATTTAGTTTAATTAGTATGAGCACAAATCCAGTATGAAAAAATGCTTATAAAAATATAATAAAAAACTCACCCATTGTCATCTTGTAAATATCACTCAACACAACATACGACTATCGATGAATATCTTCTTATTCTCAATGAAATGAATTACTGAGTATTGTCACATTTAGTACAATACTATTCATTTGTTTTGATTTCGTATCTCTTCTAATAACAAAGACCTATTACTAATTATTTACGATTAACTATAACTAAAACAATCGATCGAATTTTTGTTTTAAATTTGTATCACTCCGGAGCAATCTCCACCACAATGCTACCAACAATATTCACTTCTTCTGCTTCTTGAGCTTCTCCTTCTTTATTATTATTGTTTTCTTCTTTGTGTTTAATTTTATAAAGATAGTAAAAAGATTCTATTTTATCAATAAATCCCAAAATAACGAAACATAAAACCACCTGAATTATATCCCCGACAGTTAACATAATATCACTATACTTATGCCTAAAAATTGTATAAGTAATCAAAAACCGTAGAAAAATGTAAGATAAAATAAAATCACATAGTTTGTGCGCCGTCCTGTGCGTTTAGTGTTACGTAATGTGAGGGTCCCGGGCCGAGCTCGCGCCCTCGGAGGATGCCCCTCTCTTCGCCCCTTTATTTTGACCTGCGCGAAACTATGCGCAGTATTAATGCGCGGGAAAACCTAAAACCTTGTTGGCTTGTCACGGCGCACGGTGAACTCCATATTCGTGTATTGCGCGCGCATTGGCGGCAACTTGTAGGATACGATCAATACTCTGTCAACCCCACCGCGCTTGCGTTACTACCCCTCACCCACAAAGCTATCTGTATCTATCTAACTAAGCTCTTTACCAACACGAATGCATAAGCATTGATAGTGTAGGTACCTATTGTGTTTCTATATTTATATTCAAGGTCAATGTTTTGAGTACTTAAATAGATGTCTCCTTGCAAGAAGGGATTAAAAAAGTATTACTTAGATAAATTAGTTAAATTAAAACTGAAAGGGAGTTGTAATTACTTAGATGGCCGTTAATGCATAAAATGCATTCGCCACATTGTTAATTTTTAATAAACAGAGGCCAAACTAATATTTTTGTTCATGTTGGACGCCCCTTGGAACCTCTTTCACTCTTTAGGGTCAGCCCAGGCGTAGGTAACGATTTATAGACTAGAGGTTCTGACAGCGGCTTCGTCCGCGTTCCCAGGTGTAAAAAGGAGCCTATGTGTTATCTACTCCAGACTATAATCTACCTATGTTCCAGTTCCACAATCAACCCGATTCCTTCAGACGTTTTGATCTGAGTGACTGAGTAACAAACATAAAGTATGTTTGTCAAACACACAAACTCACATATTTTCACATTTATAATATCGGTTCAAGCTAATTTCAACCATGTCAGCCCTATAGTTACCGTCAGTTACAGCGTAAAGTCCGCTGCAGGCAACCTAACATTCGACAAACTTACAGTCAGTATGCGTTTGGTACAGTATCTGTGTCTAGGGATTGAGCCGCACAATTAAGTTTGTTTTTTCGTGTATATACTTTTCCGAGATAAAAAGTACCCAATATACGTATATAGTACTTTGGGGTATTAAATAATGATACCAAATTTCATCGTAATCAGACCAGTAAGTTTTTACGTGATGCGTGAATATACAGACTGACAAATAGACAGGCAAAAATTATTTTATTCCATTTAATCTAATAACACCCCCTATTATTTATTTTTTTAATATCTTCAATGTACAGAATTTACACTTCTACAGTTTTATTATTATGTATAGATTGATAATATCGGTTTTGAACTTCCTAGTGAAATCGAAATACTGAGATAAAGGTGCATTTAACTACATAACTCATTTAAGTCAGCCTCTCAAAAAGACTAGCCATTTCACAAGAATATATTATATGTGCACTCTTCTCTCTTATTTTTCTTTCATGAAGAAATGAACTGTGAAACCCCAATTCAACACTACTGATGAGGAAAATTAGGTAAGGAAAGCTAGGCTAACTTTAAATTTCGGGCTACAAAAGGCCTAAATAAAGGCATTTAAGTTCGAAAAGCTCATTTTACACTTTTCGCATCCGCGTCCTAATGGACGCATGCCGCTAGGCGACATGTAACATATTGCGTTTAGGTAGCTGTGCATTTTTAATTGTTTCTATATCACTCGTACATAATGGAAAATAATAATGGTTACGAAAAACAAATTAATCTCCAGCGATCTGTGGAGGGCTAAGGGGGAGGCCTTTGTCCAGCAGTGGACGTCTTCCGGCTGTTGATGATGATGATGATGATGATGATCTGTGGCCGACTATAAAAATAGATCTTCGCATAACAAAACTAAACTTCCGAATAGAATATTGAACCTCCGACAAAATTACTAAGTTACCGACAACAGATGTTTTAGGTTTTTTTTTTTTTTTTTAATTGTATACTATGGCCATCTCTATTTGAATTATAGTACTAACTACGGCATATAATTTAATTTAAGTTACATAAATATTTACAACTTAAAATTAACTACAACTAACTAACAACTAAGCCTATTCGCCTTCGCCGGAATACTCACATTCTTTCACTTCTATACAATGTACTCTTTAATCCCACTACCCCTTTCTATCTAAAAGAGCGTTTTACGTACCTTGGCAACTCACATACGAAGTTTTTAAGATCATCGGAGAGCTTGAAATTAAACGTCTGTTTGCATTCCACTACATTTTTCGACAAGTCCTATACAGTACAAGCAGCACGGTTGTGGAATGCTCTACCGATTGCAGTGAGGCGAGCTCAAACCATATCACAATTTAAAAAACTAGTTAAAGAATTTTATCTAACTTTATAGTTTTTTCTTGTCTCCTACTTAACATGGTAACACACGTACACATACATGCATAAACGCACACACGCACACTTACACACCATTATGTATTATGTTCTATTTTATTCTTATTTTTATAACTTTTATGTAGGCATATACATGCATATATTTATTTATATATATATATACATATATATATATTTTATTTATACATATTATGGTTTACACGGTATTATTATTATTATATTATTATTATTTTCTTTTTAAAGTCTTTAACTTGTACACTTGACGACCCATATCTGACTCCTATTACAGCTCCATCCAAAGGTTGTCTGTAAGAGATCGCCTTGTGCGATAAGACCGCCCATTGTGCACTATATTAATTGTTGTTTGTCCTATGTGTTTATGTGGTGTACAATAAAGAATATTATTATTATTATTATTATTATTAT